AAGTTTTGAAATGTCTGTAACTTTTTCCCATTTGTAAGTTGAAAGATGATACTTGGCAAATCAATGTAACTTTGGACAAGCTTTAAAATGATATATGACACATACTATGGGAACATTGGTGTGTGTCTGCCTAGGGGGGGGCATACTTTCGGGACACCCTGTACATCATATTAAAACTCTATTATAGAAAAAACAGCAAGATATGTTTCAGTGTATGCTAGTTTTCTGTTCTAATATGCTGGCTAAAATACATAAAACCCGTTGGGCATCCGACAGTTTCTGAATATGGATATCATGTTTAAACAGAATATGCAAAAAAAGTTCATATAATAAGCATTTCCACCTCTATTGGCTCTACATCCAGACTACTAGTATTAGGTAATGAAAACAAATAATGAAATTTCGCACTAAGGGCCAAGGCTGACGTAAAAAAGTCAGTACACCCTAGTGGGGATCGAACCCATGATAATTAAGTATGAAAGCATCACCTTTTTGTAATACATTGAGCAAACCTACAACACATGTTGTTTATTACAATAAAATGCTTGGTCATTGATGTTCTCAGGTCACTTTGGTTAGCAGATTGACAGCGGTTAAGGTTACACGGTGGTGGATTTATACGTCGACTTAATATTGAAATCTATGTCATATTTTGCTATAATTCGCACCGAGAGGATTTATACACGAAATACTGTGTACGCAATGTTGATAATGGATTGCTTCTGTCCCAGATGATTATACTATTTGATTATTTTTTTACTTTTGTGTATTCTCATTTTCAGATCCAATGAAAATTTAACATTACAAAATATCATTACGCTGTAGAAGTGAAAAGAGAAAAAACTAAAAACTCCTTTTTGACATATGCTCGAGTAATCATCATTTAATGTTCAATTCCCATTAGAGTCTAGCCTTGTAAAAAATATAGGGCAAAATAACCTCAATCATAATCTCATTGGGACAGAGACAATTAATTAACACCATACACATATTAACTAAGTATAAAAACAGCAAGCAAAATGCCTTGTTGTAATTGAATTACATTGACTTCATCACATAGCAATATGCATGCAACAGAGGCCACAGTGTTTAATGTGTTATCTACTTTCATTAACACTTCAACCGCCAATTATATTACCCATTTCATTTGTTTCTTAAGGACCATCGTGAGCAGCAATATACTTGTTCATGTCTTCATCCCAGATGTCCCAAGGGATACGAAAGTTAAGTTTGGGCAACCGTACATGTATGAATCCTGTAAGATGTATGGATGTATGCCAATGGACTTGGAGACTAGATTTTTTATCCCACATCATTTGAGTATCTTTAACTTTTTTTGATGTAACGTGTATTGGCTCACTTTTTTCTTCAACATGTATTGTAATGAGTTATAAATGGAATTTTCGTTGGTGTTCTCATCCTGGATTCTGATATTGGCTCTCGATTGGTTGGCTAGAGGGGAATGGGGTTGTTCTTGTCACATTGGATTTAGACGTCTATTTTACTTATGACGGATTTACACTTAGTGTTTGCGTTTCGTGCAAGATTTCTGTACAGTTTTCGGTGCTTTCCCCCTGGCATTTGTGCTAAAGATATTAGTATCGTTGTTTGATAACGCCATTTACGTCCAGGGGAACTCCCAATCAAGCTACTGTTTTCCAAGATTGACAGATGATTCACTGCAAGTACAATTTGACTTTACTAGAGACTCGAACTACCAACATCAAATATAGTGAACGGGATCATTTTGCTATCGATCTGATATATTCGGTAAAATGGAATACGCTCGAGTCTATCATAATCTCTCCGTGTCATTTATAAAGCTAAAGTGGTCTGTTTATGGTACATTAGATTGGCACAACTGATGCAATTTCTTCTGGGATAAGTTGATTCAACGGCTTATCCCAATAAAGTTGTTGAGGACAAATTGGAGCCGTGAAATTGGATTTATAAAAATCGTTAATTAATAATTATCTCATTGACAACTTGGACTCGCTACATTAGCTCTCTACATATCAAAGTTGTCATACGTTGTCTCTAGTAAACATATTGCCTTCCTTCAATACTCCTCATTACAAACTATCGACTTCTCAAATTCAATATTTCGCACTGGAGGACATATGTTATATCAGATTCTATCAGCAATTTTCATTGACTTCATCATAATAGGGCAGTTGTTTCATTATGACACAGTCAACGTGGAAATAAATAAGGCACGGAGTAAATTAAAACACCTCAGTTTTTGCAGAACTACCCTCGCGTGATCCATAAAATATGTCAAGGATAAAGGATGTGGAAAAGTTATTACAACAACAGACGCTTTGTCTTTTTCCCTGTGATTTCTGCTGATTATATAGTACACTGATTATAAAATCGTTTAAGAGTTCTATTCTAGTAGCAGCTTTTACTTTCCTTTTTTACTTCAGATGCAGGAAGATCCCGCCCGGGTATAGGCCTTAATTGCTACAGATATATTGATATGAATTCACAAACTATAAAATAACTTAGAATTCTATTTTAATTAACCATTAACTTATGCTTCATGAATTATAGTGTGAGCATTCATGTTTACGTTTGATATGCGGGGCAAATTTTCGAATATACCGATCCGATGGGTTTAACAAACGATTTTGACACATGGTGCAAGAGTTGTATCGTCCCGAAAGAGTGCTTTCAAAAGCTGTCTCAAGATTTTTTTAATCAGGAATGATTGTGTTTATTACAAAACAAGATTTAGATTTTTGAAATGCTACCGTGCAAAAAATATGAAGTAAATTATAAATCATCAGCATTTTATATGGCATACTACAAGGTTCCGTCATTGGTCCCCTGTTTTATATATTATATTTATAGCATTTAGGTAATAAATCCACAATTCGTTGTTTTAAAATAAATCAAAGCAAAAAACACAATTTGGAAAATGATATTCTTGTGTTTATTCCACAGATAAAAGTTATTATCAGACTGTCAAAGTGCCGCTGTTGTAACATACACTCCTGAATCTTTCCGCGACTCTCGACATCCTCGAAAATAGCACATGTACAGTACAATAATTGTAAATGCTACAACTGGTCGAAGATCGATTGCTGTAGGCGGCTTCCTACAACTCAGCTTCTTGGTATCAAATATCACAAAGGAACAAACAATATGGAACAGGCTGAACGAATTAAAAAAATGATTAAATCAGTCAATGTACTTGATATATTGTGTTTCCTTTTAACTGTTTGATTCATTAACTTTTCCATTTTGTAATTTACTGACTGTAAAAAAATTATTATTGTACGTGTAATGGATCGTGAAGAATATACACCCCTTGGGTGTAAATCTCATGAAAATTGTATCTAAACGGCAGAGGAATCGTTGGATGGAATGAATCGTATAAATTAAAGAAAGTGAAATCGAACTTAAAGAGAAGGGGGAACTTTGAAAACATACGGGAAAGAAAAATAAACACTCGAGTGGTTTGTATTATCTACGATACCTATACCCCAAGGGCGAATACTAGCAAAATGCTATTCAATATGAAATGGCTTTAGTACTAAAAATAACAACATACACTCTTAAGAATGTAATTGTATTTGCTTCTTGCGCTTTTTGGTAATATTTTATTTTCAATTGATGTAACTCAGCGCAACCTTATTAACCGAAAGATTACTTGCTCTTAATTAAAAAAGAAACCTTGTTTATTGCAAAGACGGTCGTTAACTCAAGTTCGCAAGTTGAAATACTGTTACTGGAAATTGCCTTTTAGATCGAAGTATACGTTTGTTGTAATCACCATTCTGTATTTGGATATAGATCGTGTCTGATAATGTTAAAAAATGGTTTCGCGTTGATAACAAAATTGTTCAAGATTCTGGTAACTGTCCCCTAAGGTAGGTAACGATGAAGTGTATGGCAAATATTGAACCTTTACAGAACAGTCGTACGTAATTAAACCCAAGCATAATACATTGATTATCCTGCAGAATCGTAGCTATAAAGGCTGCAGCTAAGCTACTAAGATCAATCGTGGAGCAAGAGCGAGTCTGGAAAAGGTATCAACAACGTTGAATTGGAGAAGGCAAAACAGCACTTCGGAATTTTTACATTAATTGACTGACAAGTTTCTTATACAATGGACATGGTTTCCAATTAGGGTTTTGCTTGTAATTTGACAGCCGGACTGCGAGGATATGTTTAGGGAAATTAAACGTGAAAAATAATTAATCTGGAACAATTAGACTGTCGTTAAAACTGATTGAAGTGATTTGTTAAAGGATTTTTCAATCACCGAACTACCACCAGAGATTTGAATATATGCATCTCAATAGCCAAACTAGCAACTTTAAGCTGTTTGGGTGACACGACTCAGACGTTTTGAACGTTTCCATTAGGCTGGTGATGTATAAATACTGTAATCCAAACACTGAGTGAGCAGATGAAAGCAACGCATTGGGTATCCAACTGGTGTGTAATGATAACTGGTACTGTATTATGAAAAGCAATTCATCAAAGCGA